ATGAATCATCACATATTAATATATTTGTTCTGTCATTTAAATATTGGAACTAAATCTTAATTGTGTTGTAAGAAGAGTATAATTTCAAGAAGTCTGAGAGTAACAAGACTGGGTGGGTAGGACAATGGCCTAGCCATTGGTGAGGCTAAATAAATTCTCTAACATTTCCTAAGGCAAGAAGGGGTCTTAAATGTGATACAGCTGAGATTTGAACCCATTTGAGCCCCTAAAGATAGGGACTTTATGGAGGAAGCGAAGAACGATGGGCATTTTATTTTTAGGCTTTTGTTTTTTAACTCATTCCTCCTTTCAACACAGATTTACCAAATAGTTACTGTATACCAGATTCTGGAGTGGGAAAATACATGAGGTCCTTATAATAGTAATAATCAGTGAGTTTACTATTCATAAGTGTTTGCATTACTGTTTCTTAGACATTCCACGGTAGAGGTATAGCTGCAAATCAAGTATCTACCCAGCTGTGGTTTTTGAGAACCATCTGTGTTAAGTTCATACAATGCTCAGTATAGTCAGACACCTTAGACTCACATTGTGTGAGGAGACCTACCATACTTATTTAAGATTAAGCACTGACTAGAGAATTTGGCTCTATGACTCTCGCATGGGTAGTATGATGCCCATTTGGTGACCTTGGAAAAGACGTCAACCTGTCTGACCTTTTCCATGTGTAAAATGAACTTTTGCTAAAATTAGCTTCAAAGTACCTTTCAGCATTTATATTTTAGATGTTTAAAATTCTTTTTAATTTTTAAGAAGTTAGAATAGATATTGGATAAATAAAAGTGCTTAGAAGCCACATCTTGGCAAATTTACCAGTGGCCAGGAGCAATTGCAAATGACCTTTCTTCTAGGCATCTGAATTAAGGCTTAGAAAAAATGTGAAAGGCTTTTATTTGATGAAGTGAAAATTTATATCCTGTGAAGAGAAGTACGAAGAGACCTTGAGTAACGACAAAAGCCACAAAATATGAGCGCTACTCTAAAAAACTTGATCTATAAGAATCAAAGAGATTTCTTTTACTGAAAAAAACAAGGGTCGTGGTACAGAGCCACTTTGACTGCATCTGGAAACTCTGAAAAGATTGTGCTGAACAAGGTTTTTGTTTTCCAGTAAGAACACCAAAGTGAGCCCAGGTAAAGAAATTACAGGGAAGATGAATCATTAGATATCTTTTAATACATTACCTCATCTGCTTCTGCCTTTGCTCTTCAATTTGATATTGAGAAATCAGATTTTTTAAATTATTATTTTAGGTAATTATAATTATTTTTCAGAAACATCCTTGTTTCATTTACTTCAGTTTGATCAGATGCAGTTTTAATAGCATTATGAATGTGAGTACACAGGGCTCTCAAGATGCACATGTTTCAATCTTGTATGACTCCCTTCCTGCAAATCCATTTGCTTGAGAAAAAACCATAAAGATTCCCACTCCCCTTCCTCCAACAGCAGTTACTAAAGCCATCACAGTAGGGTCTCTGACTGTGGGCTTCTCTGTTGGTGGTAAAATGTGGTTAACTTTTGTTCCCATTCCTTACACCTTGCCTCTGTAGATAGGGGAGCTGCTATGATTTAGTACTTACAGTGTATAAGCTGCTGTTAATGACTGCCAGATCACTGGAATTTCTTTTTCATTATATTCTTAGCATTCAGTAACAACTTGTGGACAAGTCCTTGAAAGGTCTTTTTTTTTTTTTTTTAATTCCTAGGTACTTTGGTAGTGAAAGGTCTTTTTTACACAAGATTAAAGATTCTCCAAATTCCAAAGGGATTCCTTGTCCCCTTAACCTTTTCCTCTTCTTTCCTTCTCTTAAATAGTCTGTCTCTCTCTTTTAAAAAAATTGCTTTCAAGTGTCAAAATCTGTATCTTCCTCCTGTCATGTGCATGTTTGTTTATGGGGGGCTGGTTGAGCAGAGGGAAGTCAGGCATGAAAAATACCTGTTTCTTAGGAGCATAAACTGAGAATCATCTCAGCAGAGCTGAGATTTAACAGCTCTGCTAATTGCCATATCAAGGTGGGTACTATGGCAAAGCAAAAGCAAACTGTTCCTTCTTACTTGCAAATAATCACCCAAAATTTTAGTTTTCAGGAGCGTTAAGGTTGATAATGTTGAAGATGACCTACTCATTGAGTAAAAATATGTTTTGAAAGTGTCATATCCACAATATAGGTCATAAAATTATAAATGGCAAGTCTTACATTTTTTAATGTGGAACAGACCTGGAACCATTTTGGTCTTTAAGACTAAGCTGTTCATTTCTGCTAGAGGAGGATTAAGGAGAATGATATGGTAGAGGCGGACCTTAAGCTATTAGAGACAGACTCTTATTTATTTGAAAATGAAATACAAAAGAAATGAATAACCAAGCAAGAGCAGACATGGAGTTTTGCTATTCTCTATACCCTCAGACTCCATGTAAATGAAAGCCAGAAAATATTGCATCATAACAGAGATCCTGATCTTTCTTTTCTAGGACATTTTTGTGTCCCCCAGCTTCCCTCTCAATTCTTTATTCACTCATTCCTATGCTTTTGTGTTTGTTTGTTTTTTTTAAAGTGGAAATCAAATAATATATGCCTTTTAATAATACAGAAAACACCATTTTATAACCTTAATAGTGTAGAACATTAAAATGTGCGTTTTCCTACATATAGTGGACCATCATAATCACTTGGGTACCCTCTCCGGATCTCTAATGAAAGTGGCAGCCACTTATCTTCTCTGTTTTGGAATCATTCAACA